GTTCTGATACRCGTGGCAGAAGCTAATCCAGTTGTTATTGCTTACTGCCCAACTCCTGCCTYGGTCTGAGCCGCTTCCATTTGGAACACCCTGTTGGAGGGGTGGTTGGTTGGTTGGTTTTGGATGTTTGTTTGTTTAATCTTGATGTTACCTTTTCCAGGATGCTGAACAGAGACCGAACCTCAGGAAACAGGTGCTGATATTTCAGTCCATTTGGAGCACTCAGGAGATCCTGATCCTTCATCTCACAGAGAGTGGTCCCGAACTCTGGCTCAAAAGTTGCTTTATTTATAAGACGCTTTGGTGCCACTTGCAACCAGCAGAAATCCGAACCTCAAGCAAGAAAATAGGGAATTGCTCCCACAGATTTTTATTTGCTGCTGCCCCTGCCCGTAGCTAGCAAGGATCGAGGCCCTCTGAAGTGAAGTGTTTTCTGAGTCATTCGTCAGCACTTGGGGATTTGAGGCTTTCCAAGCCCTGCTCTATCTGGAACTGGTTTCCACTCCCCCTGCTGTTGTGTTTTGTTGTGCAACAAGTGTTTTGCATGTGGCAATAGTTTTGCTTGTGTTATCAAACGTACTCTATGTACTCTCTATTTCCTAGGCAAGAAGATCAAATTGCAGCTTTTTTGCTCATTGCATTATAGTTTTTATGCTTCCAGTATGTGCTTATTTATTTATTTATTTATTTTACCAGGTATGCATTTCTTTTAAAAGAAAACATTGCTGTCTGTAACCAGTAACAGTTTTGTTCACCCAAATCTGTGAGGATCCACAACTGAAGACTGAAGGAAATGCCCAGGGGCGATTGCAGCGACGTCTGCGGGAGATACATGCAACAGTTGCAGCCTTTTGAGATCCATAATGTTGATTTCCTGCTGTGTTCGTGCTGTTTCACTCCTGGAATACAGCTCGAAAGCTGCTTGAGATGCTCGTAGAGGCCTCTCTTGGAACACACCTTCCCAGCTGAAGGAGGGAAGCTCAGGAAAGCTGTTTAGAAAGATCAGGATGTTGCTGCAGAACAGTGCGGGTGTGAGGGCTTCATGGGTGTGAGCACGAGCCAGGTGCAGCCCTGTGGATCCAAAGGGTCCGTGCTGGCTGGCTTCCAGACCCACCTCCAGGAGGGAATGGTGGCAGAGCCCTCCGGGCCTGGGAGACCCTGTGTCCTTTCAGGCTCCAGCTGGATGGAGCCGTGGGTCAGATTATCTTACCAGACGATGCAGATGTGAGGGAGCAGGAAGGCTGATCCCTCTGCAAGGGGGAGCTTCTCAGAGATGCTCCAGGGAGCCTTCCCAGGTGCCTGTTTATATGATACTGACTCCTCCTCGCTGCTTGGTCTGAACATGATGCATGAAGTGATTTGATAGCTAGTATCATTCTTGGTAGCTATAATTCCCATTTGGAGCCACTAATACCCAGGGCTCTGGCACCCTCACAGCAAAGAAGTTCTTCCTCACATGCAGACGGAACTGCCTGGGTTTCAGCTTGGACCCACTGCCCCTTGTCCTGTCACTGGCCACCACTGAGAAGAGCCTGGCCCCTTCCTCCCTACATTCCCCCTTTAGGTATTTGTACCTATTTCAATATTTCAGTGTTTGTTTTTGGGGTACCATGAATGCCTTTACACCAAGGAGGCTGCCTGGGGAACAGAGCACATGGAATTATTCTGCAAATCCACCATCCCAGTAATCGGAACATGTTTCAGCATGTGCCCCGCTGCAGCCTGGATGAAGAACATCCCTGTTCTGGGCACCCTCTGCACTGACGCTCACCCAGTGCGTCCGGATGCATCCCGAGTGTTGGATCCGGGAGAGCAAAGTCGGCACCGGGAGGTGCTTCCAGACCCCCTCCTGGGAACTGTGCTTTCATATGGGGTTGATTTAAGTGACTGCATTTAGAAAATGCATGTGGAATAACAGTCAAACATGGGGGGGGGGGGGGAAAGAAGAGTTTTTGGGGATGAATATTCCACACAAATTCTACATTTGCTTCCTCACTGCCTCCCCTCTTTTATTCTTTTTCTTAATAGGGATCAGAGTAACCAAAGCAATGGAGGTGAAGTAGGATTAAAAATAAAATGTCTCTGGTCTTGAAAGCTTGGGGCACAGAGCCACAAGTTCTGTGCATCTATCTCCGAGAAATGCAGGTTCCTGCTGAATAATTTTGTTTTTCCCTTTGCCCTCAGCAAAGGTCTCACCCCAAATACTAGGAAATTAGTTCCTTGCGTTTTATTCAACTGGGAAGCGGCCAGTTCCATAAGAAGACAGATCTGAGTTTCTAGACATTAAATTACACAACACAGGCCACGTTCTTACTTCTCTTGGACTCAGGACAGTGGTCAGAAATTCTTTTCTAATTCACGGGGTTTAATCCCCTCGGTGTCCGCAGGCAGGATCCTCCTCTTGCCGTTGTGGAGGAGATTCGCGGCCGGCCGCAGTTTAAAATCCTGAAAAAAGTGTAAAGTTTCAAGATCCTTCGAAAGCCAAGAACTCGGGAGAGCAGATAATGATACTGTTTGAGTTGGGAGTGTGACAGACTCCCACAGAGGGCTGCTCCGCAGGGCACGGGGGCATCGGGAACCACCTGAGGCGCCAGGACCGGCCGTTCCCACGTGGAGAGCGTTGCGCGGGCCTGGGAAAAGGCCCGTGCAGTGAGGAGCTCCTGCCAGGATCAACTGAACAGGCAAGAACAGGGAAGGTAAAGGCGGGGATGGGCCTGCCCTGGAGGAGCATGGACACAGCGCCTGGGCCTGCTGGAACAGGCCTAGGAGAAGCCAGCGCGCCTGGGGCTGCAGCCGGCGCGGGCTGTGAAGGACGAGAGGTTTTCTGCAGGTGCCGCCGCCGCAGCAGCAGCAGCAGGAGGGCCGAGGAGACGTGGCTGTAGCCGGGGCAGGCGCACTGGTGACCAAGGGCAGACCTGGTGCTCCAGGGGAGCCCCTGCCCTGGACACCCGCAGGTCCCCGGGACCAGCCGCGCTGGAGCCCAGGAATCGGGCTGCCGTCCTCTTTGAAAGAGCCTGATGGCAGGGGAGAGGCTTCTGAGAGCGGAGAAAGGCAAATTGGCCCGTTTTCGAAGGAATTACAGGCAACTGTGTGCAAACATCAATCCCAGGCATTGTTATAGAACAATCCCAGAATCCCAGAATGGTTGAGGTTGGAAGGGACCCCTAGAGCTCATCCAGTGCAGCCCCCTGCTCCAGCAGGGACACCCAGAGCACGGGGCACAGGGCGGCATCCAGGCGCCTTTGGAAGATCTCCAGAGAAGGAGCCTCCACAGCCTCCCTGGGCAGCCTGGGCCAGGGCTCTGGCACCCTCACAAACGCTCCTGGAAGCCGTGTCCAAGCACGGGAACGTGGCCGGCAGAGCCAGCACAGGCAGTTCAGCTGCGGGCAGCTGCGAGCGGCGGCGGGCGCCGGCGGCGAGGGGTTGATCCCACACCACGCTCCGGGCCATGAACGCGGGCAAAGGCTGCGGGAAGGGATTAGGCCCGGCCGCTTCGGAGGCTCCGCTCGCCAAGAAGGGCGCCCGGCGCCGGGCGGGACGCGGCCGGGCGCGCGCGGGGCGGCGGAGGCCACCGGGACGTGCAGGGGCTGGAGCGCGGGAGGAGAGGCCGGACACGCGGTCACTTGTGGGGAGAGGGGATGGAGGCAGAAGGGCTGTTGGAGCCACCGGGAGCGGCTGCAGAGCGGGAGCCAGGCTCCTTGTGGGGGCGCGCAGCAAAACGGGAAAGAAGAATAGGAAAGAATAAAGACAAGTTGAAGGAGCGCCCTGCTTGATTGCTCTGTGTCCTGGTCAGACTCTCAGGCTGTGGAATCTCCATCTAGGGCAAAACTTGACAAAACTGGTAGCAGGTGAAATCGGGCAGATCAAAACCACTTGCCATGGACACACGCTTTAACCYGTAACTCCAGTGCTAGTGTTCCCGCTTAAACTTCAGCCTTCAGTCATAGGCAGTGGTCTTTGTTGGCCACTGGGGGAAGCTTTCCCCACAAACAGTGATTTCTTTCCCTCCAGTCTTTTCCTTTGCTCCTTCCTTTCTTGGCTTCCCGCCCTTAGCTTAGAATTCTATGATTCACCTTTCCACACAAACCCTCTCTTGATCCGTTTCTTTCTCCTGACCAGTTCAGTCTCCTGTTCATATTTTTCTGCACCTCAAACTGCACCTTCTCCCATCTTGTTTCCTATAGGAAAAAGCCTTTTTTTTTTTTTTTTTTCCCCTAATTCTATGAAAGTGTTAGAGAAGTGAAATACAGGGCTGGGGTCGGTCCCTGTGGCTGGTATTCCTTATGAGAGGGGAGATATCGAATTCCTGTATTGGTAGCTTTGCATTCCTGCATTGGTAGCATTGGGATGTACAATTAAGTACAATTATGTTTAAAACCGGAGAGATGAGGCGCTAGTGCTAACACAGGGGTTCCCATGCAGGGCTGGCTTCCATGAGGTGACATCACCCCTTTTGCTGTGGGATTAAGCGAGTTCGGGCGAAGGAAGGATGAGGGAAAGAGGGTGGAGTGTGCTATTATATGTGGGGGGGAGGCGCGGAAAAGAGAAAATTTGAGCTGTGAATAACGGCAGGTCGATCCTGTGAGTCTTTTCCCTTGAATTAATGCCGGGCGGGTAGGAACTTCCTTGCTGGAGGTGGTGCCTTCCTGCTCCCGTGCAGGTGCCAGGCACTCCAGGCACTCCGGGCACGTTCACTCTTTGTTTACCACCTCTTGCCACTGAAGGCGGCACCGCGCGGGCCCTGGGGTCGCGGTTGTCACTAACCCACGTTAGCCATTGTTGCTGCTCCGCGTTAGCGGTTGTTCCCGCTCCACGTTAGCGGTTGTTCCCGCCCGGCGTGGTGCGCTGCTGTCCCCGTGGCCGTTGTTCCCGCCCGGCGTGGTGCGCCGCTGTCCCCGTGGCCGTTGTTCCCGCCCGGCGTGGTGCGCCGCTGTCCCGCTCGGCTCCGGGCGCTCGGGGCGGGCCGGCCCCGTGGGACTCCCGTCTCCGGGCAACGCGCGATGGCGGCGCCGCGCTCGGCCGAGCAGCAGGGCCGCGACTACCTGGAGCGGCACCGGCTGCCCGCGCTGCTCGAGCACCTCAGCGCGCTGCTGCTCTACCACCGCCCCGGTACCGGCCCCGCGGCCCGCGGCGACAGCCAAGGCAGGGCCAAGGGAGGGCCCTTCCCAAGCTGCGGCGGGAGCCGTGGCCCCGGGGCGCTGCGGCTCTCTCCTGGGGCGGCGGATTTGTGTTTTTGTTGTGATTCTCCTGCCGGGCCGGTTCCYGGCAGCGCTGCCGGGCGCGCGAAGCCGGTTCAGCCGCCCGGGTCCSGCGGCAGCGCGTTCGTGTTCGCCCCGTTGCAGAGCGGCCCCGCGAGTTCCTGATGGCRGCGCTGGAGCAAGTGGCGGCCGGCAGGCACGGCGAGGGCCGCTACCCCGGCCTCATGGACGACGCCAACCTCGCGGCCATGTTCGAGCTGCTGGACCCCGCCGGCCAGGGCCACATCTCCGTCGTGCAGTACCGGGAAGGTCAGTGGCGCCCGGGCAGCAGGCGCAGCAGCAGCTTCACTGGAACAGTTCTGGAGCGGAGCGGTTTGCTTTGAAATATAGCAGCGTGTCTGATTACATGTTGTACAAGTTTACAAGTTAAAGAGATGACACCTGCTTACTGCTACATCAGGAATATTTAGGGATTGGTTTTAACTTTTAGCTCTTAAAACGCTGGGACTGAGCACGGAAGGGCTGCCCCCTGAGGATGTSACCATCACCCTGGACACGTTCAAGGAAGAAGTGTAAGTTTAACTGAAAAGATTTGCTGTTGGTGTTGCTGTTACTTAACTATTTTTTTTATTTACAAAAGCATGTAATAAAAGGACTAACTAGWTTAAGCTCAGCCACCTTAGTGTGTATTGCACGATGCACAACGCTCAGTTATTGCTCGAGCTTGACCCACCTGCAGGAAGCTGAACCTGTTCCCAGACTCTCCAACTCGGCCTTTCCCTCTCCCGTYTCCCTTCGTGATCCTATTAAAGCAGATCTGGGCAATTCCCGCCCAGTTTCAGCTCATCCCAATGCTCAGAGAACACACCCAAAACACAGGATGTTTCGGTTACSTTCAGCACTCTGCCTTTAGTAGCAGCATCTTCCAGATGAAACAGGCCCGGGGGTTAATGGTGTCTCAGTCCAGGTATGTTTCAAGGGGCAAATTTTGGTAATTTTAATAAATTTCAGTAAAAAATAGCCACTGAGAGTCAGACCTGTTTATTTTAACCAGTATTAACCAGACTTATTTTTGTTTCTGTTCTAGGAATAAAAAGATGTTGGAGATGTGGGCTGCATATTAAGTTTCAGCTGAACACATACGCACGTTGCATTTCTATCCACACTCTCACACACATGCAAAAAAGGCATTTTCCTCTTCTTTTTCCTGCTTTTGCTTGGTTGGTTTCATCTCCGGCCAGCAGCTGTCCTCACATATTTCAAGCAACGCTCTCTTTTTTTCTCTAATTTCCCCCAAGTTTAGCAAACCGCTGCAGAGGAGGAATGACAAAGAATCGTTCATCCTCATGAGCTGTTGGCCACTGATCAGAATTGCCACTTTTCTATTACATGATTAGAACCGATTTTTTTTTGCCAGCAAAAGCAGCATTTGGGAGCTTCCGCAGCAGGAGCTGGATTCAGAGCTTCGTTTGCAGYTTTTCTATGTTACTTGTTGGCTCCTCCATCAAAAAAAAAACCCATTGAATAAAGTTGTGTTTATCAGACAAGTTGTTTCTTAAGCGTTTGTTGAAAGAAAGGCCACATGGGGAGGATTGGGAGCAGTTCTGGGCTCCTCRGTGGAGCTTCTAGAGGGTCCAGCAGAAAGCRACAAAGACGATGAAGGGACTGGAGCATCTCTCGTATGAGGAGAGACTGAGTTGGGCCTGTTTTCTCTGGAGAAGGTTGAGAGGGGATCTATCAGCATGTATAAATAACGGAGGGGAGAATGTAGGGAGGAAGGGGCCAARCTCTTCTCAGTGGTGGCCAGTGGCAGGACAAGGGGCAATGGGTGCAAGTTGAAACCCAGGCAGCTCCATGTGCATGTGAGGAAGAACTTGTTTGGTGTGAGGGTGCCAGAGCCCTGGCCCAGGCTGCCCAGGGAGGCTGTGGAGTCTCCTTCTCTGGAGATCTTCCAAAGGCGCCTGGATGCCGCCCTGTGCCCCGTGCTCTGGGTGTCCCTGCTGGAGCASGGGGTTGGACTGGATGAGCTCTAKGGRTCCCTTCCAGCCGCAACCATTCCAGGGTTCTGCGATTCAGACAAGCAACATACTTCCAATATAGTACTTATGCAATTCTTAATAAATGACTCAATAATAGAKGGTCCTACTTTAAAGACAGAACAATATCAAAACAGGATGGATAAAGTGACACCTTCATCTCCCTCCTCATTTTAACACAAGATGTCCCTTAGCTGGGCTCTGTGGATGCAGAGCCCTGGATTTTGAGCTGGGAACACGGGAGCTCCTCCGGGTGCCCCCGGTGCACCGCGCTCCTCGCCCGGGCAGGGGGGCCGCTCGGCGGCGCCGGGGGCTGTTCGGGCGACAGCAGCAGCTTTCTAGGAGCTACGGGGGCCAGTTCTGGCCTTCAGCAGGAGGCTACAGAACACCCSCCGTGTCCGTGGGTGTGGACGCCAAGGCGGCAGCCCTCTGAAAACATTTTATTGTAATTGTGTATACAGGAAGGCATAAAACTAAATTAAATAACATCAAGCTCTCAGTATATAGCAGTGGAAAAAAAAAACAGGAAATATATTAATACAGTTGATTTGCTTTGCTTTTTATTTGAAGATCAGTAATATAGACCACGTTATTAACCATTTTTAAAAAAAAAAAAAAAGAAAAAACCACCACCACACTTCATTTTCCTGTATTTGGCCAATGAGCTCTCAAATTCAGCAGAATCTCAACATCCTTTTGAGCTAATTTGTAAACCCCAAGTTCATTTAGTGCTGCTGTTGCAGATGGCTGGTTTGGCTGCAATGCTTCTTCACTGTCTGAGGCTGTCTGCAGCACGTCCTTCAAAAGCAGGGCAGAGCCTATATTTAAGTTCAGGATAATGCAGGCTTCTTTTATGCTGCAGGGGAGTGGGGAAGAAGAAAAAGGATTAATCTGCGACCCAATCTCATACCCCTGAGCTGCATTTAACAAATCTGTGTGCACAGTGATTAACAAAAAGTGCCTCCACAGACTCCTGAGAAGCATCAGAACTGCGGAACCGCAAAGTACTGGTTGGATGAAGACAAATGGCACAGCCATTCTCAGCAGTTAAGTGTTTTCTGTTATAAATACGTGTTTCAAAAACATCAGTATTTTGCCTCCTAGGGCTTAGCAGGGCTTTTCTTCTTGTTTTTCCCATCAATACTAAAAATACAGAACTGAATTTATCACTTAACAATCCAGCCAGCCTTGCCTAAATACAATTTTCTCTAAGTTTATTAGAAATTGTGTATTGTAAGAGTACCTTTGGACAGGCAATTGCTGACATCGGCATATATTCCCTTATTCTCATTAAGGAGCAAAGAGGCTGCTACTCTGCCTCTGTCGCCGTGTTTCTGGTCTCTAAATGATGGACATGTACCCAGTTAAACATTATTTCTTACAGTTTCTTTCTGCTGTGAATGGAAACGCTCAAATAAGCTTAAGCCAGAAGATGCTATGCAAATATTCCAACTAAAAATGCCAATTTATCACCTGTGTCTTCAGGTTTTCAACTSTGGAAGCACACTGAGGCAGGAATCTTCAGCAATCAGCCCCAGGAGGCAGCACTGGGCTCTCTGAAGTATTCTGGGCTACTCAGCAAGACTGACCACAAAACCAGCAGCTTCTTTTCTCAGTGAAGACCATGAGGCTGCTACCCGCTACACAATCACTTTTGAAATATTAATAYGTCACAAGTTTGTCTACTCACTGTTTGAAATAGTTTTCTGGCCTCTTGCAGTAGTGAGAAAACAGAGGGAACAGGTTCCTGTTCATGTCAAACTGGAGCTGTGCTGCTCCTCCTTCATTGAAATGATTTGCCAGAATTACCTGGACACACAGAGAGGGGCATGTTGAGTCCAGGCACTAACACCAGCACGGCAAATACATTATTTGCGGCCACCTACCTCCTGGTATATGAATAAATCCACCTTCTCTGCGAGCATCTGCCAGAAAACCTTGAAGAGGGAGTGGCAGAGCTGCTGCTCCAGCTGCAGCAGGCGGTCCCGCAGCGTGAGCAGCACGGGGCAGGCCGAGCTCGACAGGGACATCACCGCCTGCTCCGCCTGCGACGGCAGCGACAGCCACCTGCGGGAGCGAGCGACACCGGCGAGGTCAGCAGAGCAACGCCGGGCACGTGCAACAACTACCACTGAAGTGTAAATAAATAAAAAATATATTGTATTGGAGAGAGGAATCACATTAAAAAAAAATAACCACAGTCTAAAGCTCTGTTTAAAGCAATAAGCTCCCCATGTTGTTAGGACTGCCTGCTTATGCCATATAAACCCAAGAAACCCACGAACCAGCTCAGCTACAAAACCACTGAGCTACTGCCTCCATTTTATGAAAAATTTACAAATGCTGCCAAGGAACAAACACTCCAAAGTCCAGTATGTCCAGGAAGATGGGAGCAACCATTACAGGACACTTGACATTTACTCTCTCATGCTACCTCCAGAATGTCCCTGCYGGAGTAGGGGGGTTGGACTAGATGATCTCTGGAGGTCCCTTCCAGCCTCAACCGTTCTCTGATTCTGTGAAAGTACGGCAGGATTCTTCCAAGTATTTTATTTTTTTTAAGTGCCTACTTATTGCAGGACTAGTTCAGAAACATAATTTTAATTTCAGAAACTGAAATTAAAAGGTTTTGAAGGAGCCGAAGATAATTTTCCCAAGTTTACTACCATTCGCAACTCCAACTCAGGAAACAGTCTTCCTATTAACTATTTTTGCCCTTATTTGCATGGCGTTTTTAGCAGAAATAAATGCTGTAGCAGAGGAGGGCAAGGAAAGAGAGTGACCTCTCTTTTTTGTAGAGCTTTGCAGCATCTTTGACCTCCCTGAAGACGTGCTCGACCTGACGAGCCAGCATGTCGTGCTTGAGGCGCTCCAGGAGGGTGATCATGCCGTCGAACACGGAGCTCTCCATGGACGCCAGCTGCCCCAGCTCCACCTGGCTCCCGGCGCCGCTCTCCGCACGAGCCTCCAGCTCGGCCTGCTGCAGCTGCAGGAAGAACTGTGGGACAAGGGCAGGCGTGAGCAGGGACAAAAGCACTTGGAATTTCTTATTTGCACGTTATCAGGTCTAGAAGACATTCTCCAGGCACACATGCACACCTACACTTTTAAGATAAAGTAGCTTACACACTTAAGCAGCTTACACACTTATGCACTTACACTTTTAAGATAAAACAGACTTTTTTTCTGTAGTTCTAGTATAGTAAAAATAAAACGCAGTGTTTTCATAGAGAGGGGATGGGTATGGGTTTCAAGTACAGCAGCAGAGAGGTAACAGGAATATATCTAGAGAAATACCAAAAATGTAAGATTTACAGTAAAATGCTCTAAAAAGGTCAATATACCTGTGTAAAGATCAATATTTCCTGTGTTTATCTGCAAATATAAACTAAAATCTCTAGGTTTTGGGGCTCTTTTTTAGAAATAACATTGAATTAAATAATAGATTTGCTGGGCTAAGGCAAGGAAATGGATCAGGTGTAACGTGGCCCTCTGGTATCAGCAGGAAGTTGCTGGCTGAGGTTTCAAGCAGATCAGTGTGTGTGTCRATGTAGCTACACAACATGAGGCTGTTGTCTGAGCAAGCCAAGATTATCCTGTGCTTGATCCACAATTTCTGTGAAGAATTTGGAAGCAGACCGTTTCACACACAATATCTATTTCTATACCCTCCACACCCAACAKTTTCATGGTCTTCTACAGCAACATCTGTCAAAAAGCTGAAACCCTGCAGAGCACCCAAGCTGTCACCAGGCTGCTATATAGAAAAGTAACTGATTCTTAATTCCCAATTATCAATGAGTAGCTTCCCGGGGGGGGGGGGGTTATCCTTTTTAAAAAAAAATAAAAATTGGATTTAGAACTAGTTCTATTTTTCCACGATTAATTTGTAAGAGGAACACGGCTAAAAATGGAATAAGTTTCGTTCATTATGAAACATAAAACACTACTGCTCTATTCTAAAGCAAAATAATTACTCACAACATTGTCAGCCCAGTCTGCCAACACCGTGGCTATATAATTAACGGCGTTCAGGATCGCGCAGTATCGGAAGCCTAAAGAAGCTCTCGTCTCTTCCTTCATTACTTGAGTCAACCGTATCCTGAAGTCATCAACTAATTCCTTCTGTAACTCCAGAAACTGCAGTTTTCTGGAAGTTGATGGAAGATTCTTATATCTGTCTGGAAAGAGAGCAATCCGATGCTTTATGTTTCCCAACACATGAAAAAYTGAGTTGTAGTAATGAAAAGTTGTACTACTAAAGAAATGTGCTGTCACTGCACAAACCTTGCCCTGGGGAAGGTGACACAAGCTTTCAGCTACCAAGCTTTTAAGTAGTTAGGGAAACCACTTGATGCAAAAGAAACAACTGGTTTTTTAACCACRATTCCACTAACATTCTGTATTCTAGCATATATATGCATATATATATATACACACACACACACCCCTCAGTCCAGCAAGTCATACTCTCTCAAGCATTAACAAGTTTCAATATGGCAAACATTGTATGTATGTTTTTGAATTAGGATTTWGTTAGCACAGTACCTAACTCAAGATTATTCCTGCTTGAATTTAAGTGGAAAATATGCATAGGAAAATGTCTATAAAATTAAAAACAGTACAACTTGGTTCATTTTTTATTTGGTGATTTGTTGAAACAGTATCTATTTAGTTTAAAAAAAATCTATTAAGCTACAATTTTTCTTCTATTATTTATTTTAAACAAGATGAATGTCTACAGCTTAATAACTACCTGTTATAACCAAGAGCAGTGTCATAAAAGTTTCAGCGCAGTCTGGGACTTTCATTTCATCCACATCACAGATATCTTTATACTGTGATACCCACGCGGCCTCAGATGAAAGCATGGAGTCCATTTTCTGAAGAGCAACTGAGATGCACAAAAACTGTCAATTACTTACAGGTTTAATAAATAATTTCCTATCAAAAATACAAGAATATATGTAAGAATGTAAAAATATAACAGCTTCATCTCTAATAAAATGTAAATTTACACCTTCAGAGTATGACAACACTTGATGCTTTGTACAGAATCAGATCCAGTATTTCTGCATCTGTGATTCTGTTAACAACTATGTCATGAGTTGAGTTTCCTCAACAGATGTCTTGCCCCTTTCCAATAACTTAAGAGAAAATTTAATACCCTTCCTAATTAAATTGATAGGCCCATCAGTTTTAGGCAAACAGAAATGTATGTGTTACTGTGTGCAGTTCTGGGCTCCCCAGTATAGGAGGGATGTGGAGCTTCTCGAGAGGGTCCAGAGAAGGGCAACCAGGATGATTAAGGGAATGGAACATCTCTCATATGAAGAGAGGCTGAGTGAGCTGGGCCTGTTTTCTCTGGAGAAGAGACGGCTCAGAGGGGATATGATTAATATGTATAAGTTCAGGAAGGGAGAATGCAGGGAGGAAGGGGACAGGCTGTTCTCACTGGTGGCCAGCGATAG